AGGACAGGAGCAGAGATATAGAAGTGTATTCAGATAAAGCCTAAAATAAAGATGTTCCAAAACCACTAAGTGTCCCAGATACAGAAAATCACCAGTTGTTGTGGACACAGACATATATGGTTTGAAAAGGTGTTATGGTTATGGGATGTTAGCTATTAAGTACACATGCTCAACTATGTGACCAATCATGTAACCTCTGATTACGATGCTGTTTTTGAAAAGGTATGTGAAAGGAAAAAACTGATTTATTAATGCTTAAAGCTTGAATAACTTGTAACATGCTAATAACATTAGCTGTAAAGCAATAAGTGCTAACACCAAATAAAACAAGCTAATTAAACAATAAAAATGCTATGTAGACTAAAGTTTTCAGACATCAACAGGAAGTCGGTGAACAGATGACCAAGTAAGTGCTGATGGAAGGAGAATGTGGCAAGAGAAAGGAACCGTGAAGTGTGGTAAAATTAGCACCAAGGACGGTAGATCATTCTGGGCGTCAAAATTGTGGTTTGTGGTTTTGAAGAACAAAAAGGATTGTTGGGAGGGGCTTGGGGCCACTCGGCTAAGCTGTCTGCCTGACCGCTTGTCTGTGCTGGACCTCATTGCAACGGGATCTTAAGTATGTTATGTTTTGTTTTCTGAACTAAGGTCTGTGTATTGAACTATACTTGCTTACTGAACTAACATTTAATAAATACAGTGGAACCTCGGGTTACGAATTTAATTCGTTCTGTGACTCTGGTCGCATCCCGAATTGGTCGCAACCCAAAGGAAATTTCCCCATAAGGTTCAATGTAATTACCGTTAATCCGTTCTGGCGTGGCGGACAGGGAGGCGGCTATTGCTTGGACGGAGAGTCCCCCTCCCTACGACCAGTGTCAGGGGCGGAAAGATGGCCGCGGACCATGCGTCAGGGGCAGAAAATGGCTGTGGACCACGTGTCAGGGGCGGAAAAATGGCCACGGACCACGTGTCAGGGGCAGAAAAATGGCCGCGGACCACGTGCCGGGGGGGAAAAATGGCTGTGGACTGTGTCACGGGAGGGAAAATGGCTGCGTATCCTGTTCGTACCCCGAGGCGGAGTTTGCAAACTCAGGTAAATTTTTGCGGCCGGAGCTGGTCGTAACCCGAAAAGTTCGTTAACAGAGGCGTTCGTAACCCGAGGTACCACTGTACTTTAGAACTTTGAAGTGGTCTGTGTTTCTGGTGTGTCTGTCTCTCGGGTTAGGTGGGGTTTTTCCCCTGACAGGTATACAATACAATACAATACAAATACTTTAATGACCAAGTATAAAATATATACAAGGAATTT